ATTGTTTATGATGTCTTCGACGTCAATTTTGTTTATGATGTCTTCGACGTCAATTTTGTTTATGATGTCTTCGACGTCAATTTTGTTTATGATGTCTTCGTCGTCAATTATATATGATGTTTTCGACGTCAATTGTTTATTATGTCATGAGAGCCGGAAGTGCTCAAACTTTAAGCGTATCAAAGGGTTTGATTTCGTTGAGGAGGTGAGTGTTTTCCATGAGTTGGGAGGTGAAGATTACGATTTTTATGTTAAAAATGGTAAATCCCTTTGCTATTATAACCAGAGGCATAGGGAAAGGGGAGCAGGGGTGCAGATGTCTCTGGGCACCAGCTAGTTAGGGGCGCCAAAATGTGCTTTGATATTATATTATTGATGAAAATAGTGAGTTTGAGAGTTGAAAAAGGAAAAGGGGGCGTTTTAAAATGAATCTTGTCCCCGGGCGCGAATCTTGTCCCCGGGCGCCAAACATTCTAGCTACGCCTCTGATTACAACTGACATTGTTGTGATATGATATTGCAGTTACGATACCCTGATGATTGAACACATGCTGTAAAGAGTATGTAATTTAAATGATGATTGTAAACAGTGTAATATTAATAGGATTGTTCGTTTTGAGATTATTACTTGCATTACATTGGGATAGGGTAAAAGTGACTCCATACCCTGACTTTTCATTTATGGAAGATTTTACTCGGGGAGTAGATTCTAAGCGGAAGAGGGGGGATAATATATCAAGGGTATGAGAATCACTGTTGTTATGTTTCGTATGGAAAAGATGTTTAGTCTAGAGATTATATGTGTAGCTATATCTATTGTGTGAGGTATTTGTGACGTATTTGGGTGGGGGACATGACGTGTCAGTTTTGCTGTTGATATAGCGCATTGATGGCCGTTGTAGGATGTTCACGGTGTAGCTTGTTTTGTGTGTTGAGGATTCCGGCTGGATGTATCGTTAAGGAAGTACTTTGATGTGTTTAACGAATTGGATTTGTTAGTTCGGCATACATTACTCTTTCCTGTTGTGATCATGTATAATAAACTTATAGCGTGCAACAAGATATTCAGTGTTGGGTGTATTGGTAACGGTAAGTGAATGTGTGACGAAGTAAGAGACTATAATATCCAGTATTAAATAAGCACCTGACATCAAAGCTTAGATGAACACAGGACAGTAAGGTCTACATATCCTCAACAACAAAAAAAACGAAAAAATATGTATTAACTATGTTCAGAGAAGATCAGACAGATGAAACCGTTCAAATTATAAACCAGATTTTTTAAAAGTAAATTACTTGAAATACCCATGATGTTTACTAAATGAAAGAAATTACTTATTAATAGAAATAAAAGAAATAATACCGACCAGAAACAGGGCCTACTCCGGAAGTCAGAAAATACTCAACAGTAAAACCATTACAAAAACAAAGAAAACTATTTATAAAACTATCATCAGACCAGTTGTAACATCGCAAATGAAACTGGGACCTAACAAAAATGGCAGAAAACTTATTAAACACATGAGAGAGAAAAGTTCTTCGGAAAATATGTGGAACAAAAATTGATAAATATGGATGGAGAGTACGAATCAAACAGGAATTGTATGGTCTATATCAGGATCTCACGCTAGTAATAGCAGAAATATAAAAGGGCAGGCTACGCTGGACTGGACCCATATAAAGAGAGAATGCCAAATGACAGAGGAGTGAAGAGGGTACATCACCAAAATCCCCGAGGAAAACGGCTCAAAGGCATGCCAAGGTTTAGATGTTGAGAGGGATCTACAGCTGGTGGGAATCCAAGCATGGAAAAGAAAAGCATCAGCTATGTCTGAGCGGAATGATGTTGTGAAGCAGGCCAAAGCCCTACATGCATGGACTGTACGCAACAGGGATGGATGGATAACAATATGAGATGAAAAATAACAAAAAATTACTTCAAAATGATTTAACTCTGACATTATTTACATACAAATAAGATTATTTACTTCATACAATAGCTTATTTGTGAATTTCAAGAAGTTGAAACGCTTCAAGGTAATAAATAAAACACTCGTTTATTTGAATAATTTCAAGTCAATTTTTTAAAGCTAAATTCTGACTTTATTATCTTCTTGGGTTTTTTTTTTATTGTTGTTTTAATGATGATGCCTTGTAGCCGAAACGTCCTTTTTTATGATCTCTTGTCACCACCCGTATGTTTGAAATAGTAAGTTTGGTCTAAATACGTTTTTGAGACTAATCTTAGTATTTCACTCAGACGGATTGAACACAGTCTTTACTATCTCGTTTATGCAGCGGATCGAAAATGCCACCCTCCCACGCACACGCACACACACACACACACAAACACACACATACACACACACACAAACACACACTACACACACAACACAAAGAAAGAAAAAAAATGGCGTCCAGGTCGGACCATACCTTCTACCCACCTCTTCCCTCTCCATTGAATGGCAGACCTAAAAGATGTACCTCATATCTAAATGTTCAACATTTCAAACACAATTCCTCGAGATCTTCAAGCTAAAGATAAAAAAACAACAAAAGGGGCATTCATACGCACGGAAGTGTGCTAAGTATGACGTCACATTAATACACCAATAGTTGTCAAATATGCATCGTTACTTTATATAAATACAATTGCACTGGGCTTAAATATCACAAAGTGGGATTGTTCAGACAATAGACCCCCCGCCCCCCCCCCCACCCAACTGCCGTTTAAAAAGCTAACGAAAATGGTCAACTTTCTTTTCCCCATAAACGGCACAACAGTGTTGGTGATAAATCCACTGCAATCATACAACACTTCACTGCTGCTATGCCACTGCAATCATACAACACTTCACTGCTGCTATGCCACTGCAATCATACAACACTTCACTGCTGCTATGCCACTGCAATCATACAACACTTCACTGCTGATATGCCACTGCAATCATACAACACTTCACTGCAGTTATGCCACTGCAATCATACAACACTTCACTGCTGCTATGCCACTGCAATCAACAACACTTCACTGCTGATATGCCACTGCAATCATACAACACTTCACTGCAGTTATGCCACTGCAATCATACAACACTTCACTGCTGATATGCCACTGCAATCATACAACACTTCACTGCTGCTATGCCGCTACTATATATACATTTTATAAAACTGATAATAAATAAATCTACATTGAGGGTGGGGGGGAGGAGAATAAAACACTTTGATGATTTAGCCGTGAAAGTCTGTCAATCTCTACCCCCACCTTCCCCACCCCCCCCCACCCCCCGGTTATCTGACACTGAATTCAAAGAAAAGTGAGTCAAGCTGAACAGTACCCCCAAACATCCACCACTGAATTCAGAGAAACGCGAGTCAGCTTGTAAGCGCCCCTTTAATATCCACCTTTGAGACGCGAGACATTTTTTGAGTGAGATTGTTTTGGAAAGCACTTACCATAAATCCTTTGAGAATTTCTCATTTAAGAGGTTTTCCTTTACATGATAAGGCACACGTTCTCCAATAAGATCAACTTGAGAGATAAGATTATTTGTGCAGCATTGGAGTGCCATTCTCATTGGTGAAATATTGGAGTGGCAAATGTAATTTTGTGCTCCATTGGAATACCAGTGCTAGGGCGACACTTGGTATAACTTGATAAACGGAGCTCGCGTTCAACATCAATCTCGATACCAAAAACTGAAACTCAAAAGTTTGGGGGTTTGAGTAGATTTTTTTATTGCGCATTAAAACTAATTTTTTTTTTTTTAATAATCTATTAATAATAATCTTCAAAAAAGAACCAAACAGACAAATTTTTAAAATATTTTTTTAACCCTTGAATGTTTGTCGGGAACTTCTTGGAAGTTTAGTCTAGACTCATAGACTATAGTCCAGAGCAGCGGTTCTCAAACTGTGGGTCGCGACCACTTTGTGGGTCGAATGACCCTTTCCCATGGATCGCCTAAGACCATCGGAAAACACATATACTCCACCGTTGTGATGTAGGAACGAAAATATTTTTTTGGCTGGGGGTCGCCACATCAGGAGGAACTGTATTAAAGGGTCGCGGCATTAGGAAGTTTGAGAACCCACAGGTCTAGAGAAACCTTGACATATTTAAGTTAACAAAACATATTCTCAAACAATGTCCCAGAATACAATGGCACTGAGAGCCGTAATTTTTTTTTTTTTAAAAAAGGTTGAAAAACTACTTCAATATAATGTATACAAATTACCAGTTTAATTGATCGCTATAGATTTTAATTTTTAAACAATCTTTAGAGTAAAGCTATTCTCTGAATCGTTCTGCAGTTTAATATGTAGATTCTACCTGTTAAATAAGTGGTGTTAGATTTGAACAAAATTTTGAAGGCTATCAGGTACCAAAAATGATGTCAAAACTAAATCTCAATCTTTATAATGTTTTATTAACGACCTAGAATAATGCAACTATTGTGTTCATGTAATGGCTAAAAGATATAAATACAGTGCATACAAATAATGTAGTGTAAAACTGATCTAAAAACATAGCTTTTTAAGGCTGATATATAAACACACACACACACGCACATACGATTAGTTACCAGATTGTCTGTTCTATGAGCACAAGAAATTTTGAACTTTAACTTCCAATAATCGTAACTCCTCTCTCAGCTTCTGCAGCCTTTGACCCGTTGTTTCCGTAGTGACCCGCCTCGTTGTGTTTCGATGGTTCTCGATGCCCACCCCGGGGCTGTTTCCCGATTTCTTGATTTCTGGCATCGCCGAATCGTGACGTTTGCGGTGCAATTCCGGGTTTTCCCTGAAGGTTTTGCTTTTATTTTGCATACGTCTGGTTTCAAGAAAAGCCACGTACCACTCGCTGCTTTTCTCGCGGAACGTCTTCCCCATGTGTATTCTTGAATTGCGCGGTGACGCCTTTGAAAGTTTGAGTGTCACGTGACCACCTAGACGCCCTTTGTCACCTTGTGACTCGACGGTGTCACCGTTGTGTCCCTCCATGTCCCCTGTGCTGCGTGTAGCATCATCCATAATTCTCGAGTAGCCTCTCTTCCTTCTGTTGTAAGCCAGCCAAGCCTCAAAGTCGAACAGCGATTTGGGGGACAGATCACCGTCTTCATTTTCTTCAATAAATACCATGGTTATCGCCCTTGCCAGATCACCAGACGGCGATGGTGGATGCCCGCCAATGGTTTGGTGTTCAGTGCTTCCTGTTTCAGCGTGCGCCTTATTGATCTTTAAACAATCTTGCGGAGACAAAAATAATGAATTGGATTGAATTTTATGGGCTCCTGTACAGTTAAGTCTTAACGGTTGCAATCCATTGCGTTTGGCTTTCAATTGAGTGTGAGAATTGCTGGAAGAGTGCTGCTCAATTCCGGCAGAAAGGTGTGGTTTCAGTAATAGGTCTTCGTGCGCATCCTTCTTTGCTTCACTAACAGAGAACAATTCATTTCCGTCCTTTCTATCCAGCTGGTCGTCTTCTTCCGAAGTCACAGACAGCGCCGGTACATTTTGATTGTGTTTAATGTGCAATCTGTTTGTTGCATTATACCTTGAGCTGTCTTCGTTCGTGACCGTGTCGTCTGACGAAAGTTCAAACCTATTTTGCCTGCCACTTTTTGAGTTAATCTGCATTACATCGAAGCCATAAACTCCCCCGCCTTGACCACTCTGACGATCTTCCGTTTTCTCTGTCGTTTCTGACGACGTTTTCGAAGTCGGCGAAACACTCTTCCCTTGCATTTTTTGCACGTCCTGCTTCATCCACCTGGCGTCGACACGGAAGCTGATCAATTCCCCACGTTCAACAACATCCGCATTGTTCGGTGCTGGCGCCCGACTGACTGTGTTTGACGCAACAGGTTTCCGTTCACGTTGAAACACTCTATCAAAACGTTCGGGCTTATCCTCGGAGTTGTCTCCCGGGACGGACAAGCTCAAGATTTTTCCAAGCTCGGACTTGACATCGACAAGATGTCGTTTGCTCATTTCCCTCCTCTCGACCCGTCGTAAAAATGCCTCCCTCTGCGCCACGATGCCGGCCACTTTTAGCCTTTCGGCTCGTTTTAAAGCCTGCACGTTTCTCTCCAGCTCTTTTCGCAGCTCCGTCTGAACCTGTGGAGTAGAGTTCACTGTCATCAGATTTTGTTTCCCCACCTGAATGAAACACAATTCTGTTATGTGTAGTTCAATACTTGCCCGTCGCAGACAGTGCGATCCCAGATATATATATATATTTTTAAAAAGTTTAGAAAAAACAAATGAAATATAAGCCAGCCGTGAAAAAAAAAAATCCGGGAATAACAAAGGGACAAATATGTGCTTGGTCCTCTTTTTTTCTTTTTTTTTTTTTTTTAAATTAAAAAATGCTATTTTTAAATTTAACCCAATAGGAGGGTTTCTTTTTCTAAACACAATTTAACAGCTGAAATTATTTACAGGGAAAAGGTCACAGTAATAGATCCACAATAAAAGTGTCTGAGTCCTAGCTACAAATGGCAAGATAGAGCTTGCCACCAAGTCGATTCAAATTTGCCTCTTTCAGCTAACACAGCCACATCTAAGGGATTTTAAATTTACTTGATCTCGTTCACTTGAAACGTAGGCTCATAGAAATGTAGTCATAGAAATGACGTGATCTCGTTCGCTTGAAACGTAGTCTCATAGAAATGTAGTCATAGAAATAATGTGATTTCGTTCGCTTGAAATGAAGGCCCTCAGAAATGACAAGGCATCGTGCATTTTGAAACGTTGGCCCATAAAAATAACGTGATCTCTTACAATCGGGCCACGTGGGATCAATGTAACTTGATACACATGATTACGATAGAAATGAATGCTTTATTACAACATTACCAGGTATTTATTATTTATGCTAAGTTATTCGAAAGCTAATGTACTTACGCTATTTTACGTGATATTACAAGCTCTGGTCACGTACATTTCTCATGTGTTAAAAATGCTGTGATCTAATACATATAAGCTCATAGACATGAAGGACGGGACCTCAAACAATTATACATGATAACATGACGTGATCTCAGACAAACTATATATGATAATATGACATGATCTCAGACAACTATACCTCATAAAATGACGTGATCTCAGACAAACTATACCTGATAACATGACGTGATCTCAGACAAACTATACCTGATAATATGACATGATCTCAGACAAACTATACCTGATAATATGACGTGATCTCAGACAAACTGTACCTGATAACATGACGTGATCTCAGACAAACTGTACCTGATAACATGACGTGATCTCAGACAAACTGTACCTGATAACATGACGTGATCTCAGACAAACTGTACCTGATAACATGACGTGATCTCAGACAAACTGTACCTGATAACATGACGTGATCTCAGACAAACTGTACCTGATAACATGATGTGATCTCAGACAAACTATACCTGATAACATGACGCGATCCAAGACAAACTGTACCTGATAACATGACGTGATCTCAGACAAATTGTACCTGATAAACTCGGCGTGATCTCATCATCTCGTAAAGCTCGTTTTCCCCAAAACTCTCCCTCTTCTTCAGCATCATCATGAGTTGGCTGTGTCCAGGTCGAGTGTCCATCAGTTGTAACAAGTAAAATTGTTTATAAATCTTCGTTCGTTTAGATACCAAGGTTATACAATGTTTTTTTTCACCTTAAAATCACTAGCTTTTCGTGTATTCAAGAGTTTATTATACTTCTTACAATAGTGACCTTTTGCGCATACATTATTTTATTTCTGTAAAAATTTTATTATTTATTTACATTCAGTTTCATTTAAATATTTGAGCTACTTAGAATTTAACAGCGGAAAATAAAATTAGACGTGATTTAAATGTCAATAGTTTTTGAGGATGCATAAAGAGGTGTAAATTATGAGATAATAGAAATTTAGAAATTAAAACTTTACTCAACTATATTTATGTATGTATTTTGTAACAATATTTATGTACATATAGTTTCAAAAGTCCACAATGGCCTACACCACAAAAACCACAGCAAATGAAAACACCGTTTTCTCAATAACTCCGTTAATGGCCGCAATAGGCACGATAGAAAAATCCTGGCCACATCACCCGTGAGCGAGTCTCGGGTGGGGGAGGGGGTATTCTGCGTCAGTCTACAACCTGGAGTATTAGATTACAGACAGGGGTTCAAAATTTGGCCTTAGTGAGCTCTACTCTTTAAAAGTTAGATCTCCTGTAAGAAATGTATCTTAAGTGTTGTTTTTTTAAAAAAAGTATTAAACGTACGAGTGTTGTTATATTTCCTCCATTCATTTAATGAGTATTTACTTAATAGCAATTAATATGCTGTGATGATTTTTATTTTGTCTTTTCGCTAGCTATAATACAATGGGATTTCCCTTAGCGGAAATAGGGTGACACGTGACACCAACCCGGTGGAAGCATCTCAATCTGGTACTAGAGAGGCACACACTAAAGTTAGTTTTACCCCGAGAACAGCATGTTGGTACACTACGATCCCGCCTTGTGACTGACTGATTGGTGGCTTTTTACGTATCCGACGGAAATGTTTAAATCCTTCATAATGTCAACTTCGCTTTTGTTTGTGTGTTTCTGGCTGGGGGGAGGGGAGGAAGGAACCAAAATAATCTTCGGACAGCTATTTGACCCACTTTCCGCCAACCTATCGAGCTGAAACTAGGCACATAGACCCATTGCCGATGACAACACATTCATTCACGTTTTCAGCTCCCCCTCCCAACCCCAGAAATCTGTTTTTCCTGTTTATCAATGGAAGGATGATGGAAATTTGATGGCACTGATTTCATGAAATAAAAGAAAGATATTTTTTTATATTTTTTTAAATGTTTTTATGGGTTGTTTAGTTGAAGAATAAATAACGTTAACACCCTTAAACCTTACATACACCAGCTTAACGCAGTGGGCGGCAACATGCGGCTCTTTTAAATGAGTGAATTCGGATCAGTTATTAATTCTTTTACTTTAAAAAAAAAATGCAGTTTTTGTTTGTTTGTTGTTGTTTTTTGTTGGGGGGGGGGGTACTTTTAAAAGGAGTTTATAAATAACTTGATTCTACTATTTGTTTTGATATATTTTATAACTTTAAATTACTTGAAGTAGTTTATTGTGGTCCTTGACTTTACTGCTCACCATTCACGATACGACTAAACAAACAAAAGTGCATATCAAACTGAAGCCATTTATATAATATTATTTATGAAATGAACCGGTGTTAAATTTAGTACTTGGCTTAGCACTGACCAGAACAAAAACAAGTTAATTGAAGAACAGGGCGTAAATGTATTTAAGAACTTAACAACGCTAAGTTAAAGTTATTTTTACATAAAATTAACTTTATTTGAAATTGTCCTTTCCTGGTCTGCAAAGCTGAAAACTTGTCACTCGCACTCAAGTATTAAGAGGTGACGAATCAGTGAAAATATTAATTTTTGAATATTTGTTGGTTACAATGTATTTCGAAAAATTAAAAAAAAAATAATAATTGTAGAATTTTGTAAAAAAAATATTTTGTTAAAATGGGTAGAAGGTCATTTAAATTTAAAATATTATTTTTTTTACCGATTCGATTCATGTACTTAGAATCGCCCGGCCTCATTGTATTTGGTATCAATGGAAAGCTTTATTTCTCAGAATTTAGATAAGTATAGCTTGCTGTCACTTACGAAAGTTAATCGGCGTTGAATCATGGTCAAAGCTGTGTTTTTCTGTCCTAACTATATGGTCACCTCATTTCTGAATCATCAACCTTGAACATTTAATAAAGCGCGCATTTGGATTGGTTACATGTGTGGAAAATTTACGTGTGATCGGTTATCCTTTTATGAAAATCTGTTAACCGAGCAGTGTGTGCTCCGTTAGACCGAGCAGTGTGTGCTCTGTTAGACCGAGCAGTGTGTGCTCCGTTAGACCGAGCAGTGTGTGCTCCGTTAGACCGAGCAGTGTGTGCTCTGTAAATATGCAATTTTTCAATTTGGTGCCACTCCCTGAGATGGAGTCACCCAGTGCGGTCCGCAACCCCCCCCCCCCCAAGCTACGCCACTGCGTTGCACTTCCATTTGTTAGTTACAACTCTCACTGGGTAAATTTTCCTGTTTTTTTTAAAGACTCGGAGACCCACTTCTGACCTTTGACCCCCCCCCCCCTTCCCCTTCTTTAAGGTTAGAAAACTGATATACCTTTTGCTTTTGCTCCACTTCTAGGTTGGCAATCTTTGAGTTAAACGAGTTCAACCTAAAGCCCAGCCAAGCTGAGCCATAACCAATTAATGTTCCATCAATTACAGGACCTAATTAGCAACGGTTCTCAAATATAAGTACATTGCTCTGAATGATACATTTTCAAACTGTTTTCGATTTTTATCCTTTTACATTTAAAAGAAAGAATCTCGCAAGCAAATGAAAGTAACAGAATAAAAACAAATCGCTATTTAATATCCCCCAAATGCTATGTTTTGCGATTATGCCTTGGCCTAAACTATAAATGAAATGATACCCTGATTGGTCGGAAGTTATAAGTTACTGAATGTATTTATAAGTTTCACAAAACCAATTATATCTTGAACAGATCACTTGGAGTACTAAGTTTGTTAATATTAAATTATTAACATGAGTGTTGGCGTAGTTACTTCATGAAA